TTTCCTTAATCCTTATCAAACAAGGGTCTTGTTATTAAGTATTTCGAGCGTACTTATGAAATATGATGATTAGAAATATTTCAATTTTCAAATAAGTCATTACACGTGGCCTGACAAATATAGTGTATTGAACACTGTAAACTTTCCTTAATTGCTTAACTTAAAAAATGACTCATAAGGCTCATTGATAGTAAATTCTCAAAGTTTAAAACTAAATTCTAATATAAAAAAGTAAAATTCATTTCGAACGTTTTTCACAAGTCGCGTCAAGCAATTAGTTTCAATAAAATGAATAAATAACCATAGCGGAAGCGGATGTGTTCCAACCTATGATAATACCGTAAAGCGGAGACAACACTCATCCACTTTAAACTTTTGATTTCAACGAAAGTAGAATATTTACCATGTTCAGAATTTTATATAGTCTCATACAAACTGTCTTTGACCAAGTAAAGTTTCTTTAGTTTTTGGTCGAAACCAAGTAAAGTTGAAGTTGAAGCCGACCAAGCTTCACAATTACTAATGAACCTATTTAATAACACAGTTTAGTGTCAAAAATTTAAAAAAAATCAGTAGTAATTATAACTAATATTGACTTATAAGATTCAATTAAATAGAAAAAAAAAAACTCAATTAATATAATGAGTAAGAAATGTGTTACATGATTCATTAAGTAAAATAATGTGATTGATGTCAATTAGAATATTACCAATTCTACTACTAAAATCTATCAACAATTATCACAGTTTCATTTACGGTAAGAAAATCGACAATATTCAACGGTCAATATTTTTTTTTGGTCGATTCAACGGTCAATTTCAATTGCTTATTAAATAACTTTCTACTTCTACTTTCAACACTTAAATTCTCTCCATTTAATCTAACAGCGGGTTATGAGCAACCCCACCCACTACCTTCTTCCACAAAGATGGAAAAGATGAAGCCAAAAGGGCAATGTCTAGAAGAGAGAAAAAAAAATGAATTTCTAGAAGCAATACAACGGATTTATAGGGGTAGTGTTAGCTATGTGCATTAGTATTATCCAATTGGACCTAATCTTCACTAAAAAATTTAAGATGATAAGTTATTGGCCAATTAGTACGCTCACACTTGCACCTTCACAAATCTCCCTTTCATTTGCAAGTATTGGTTCGGCCAATATCTTTTTCCTGCACGGAATAAAAATGGTTTCTTTTTTTCTTTATATTCCAACATTTAGGTTATTTTTATATATAAATTTAGATAATCTCATTGCATAAATAAATAAATAAAAGGAAAAAAATCATTTATATGCGCTTAGGTTTTTCTCACATTTCATGATAGGATTAGTACTTCTTTCAAAAAGAAGGGAAAGTTGAAGCCAAAAGGGCAATGTCTAGAAGGGATGAACTTTGAATTTCTAGAAGCAATGAAACCTTTTGACAATGGCAGTGTTGACTAGTCGCACCAATGAGCCATGTACGTCGTTCCGAGAGATATTCGAGAGGGAGTTGTCCCATCAACATTATCCAGTTAGATCGGGCATTTATTCAAAACTTTAAAGTCAATAAATTATTAACCAACTAAAATATGTTAATTACTTCATCTTACATTATATTTGTCATGGTTAAATATAGGACTTACCAACACGAAATGTTCGTCACGAACATAGTTTGGTTGCCAAATTGCAAATCATTTACCATTAAATTACTATCCTCAGATAAAAGTCAATCCAAGTTCACATCTTTTGCCACGAAACAGAATAATTCATGGCTAATCATCAAATCTGTTGCAATGGTTATTTTCTTTGTGGTAACACAAAAATTATTTTCATGGACAAAGGTGAGATCTACCATGAAGGATCCAGGCAACTTTAGCGAAATCCAATGAATATTTGTTGGCAATCAGCCCATGTATGAATTGAACGATTTAGACTATCAATTACGAATTGCTCTAAGTCCAACTTTAATTTTTCAGCTACTTGTTCCATGGCTTTTGCGTTGTGGTCACTTCTTTAACATTATTGAGATACATGTACGAGTTATATCAGAAAAGTCTTATATTATAGAATTTGTGCAGTATGAAGTAGTTGATATATCGTTATTTGCTCATAACTCACTAACTTGAGTTTTTGAGTGAATGTGAGTCAAACTAATTAAGTTGATAGACTCGGACTTGGATTTTTACTTGGTGATCTTCTCAGATGAAGGTATTGGGCTTCTACTGCCCGCTTCTAGCAGAAATATATTTCACATCATCTCGAATAAGTTCTAAGTAAGAAGGGGAAAAACTATTTTTAACTTTAAGCAAACTACAGGAGATAATAACATCTTGATTTGCTAAAGAATACCACTTCAGCTGATGAAGATAAATTAACAGCAGTCGATGAATGTAGCAAATGGAATTCAATCTCAACTGATACGAAATTCGTCTTGTGAGCTGTTGAGATTATTGGGGTATTCTGACCGGACAAAATTTTATCGATGTAGGCTGGGCTTCCTCTTCATTAACAACGAATACTACAAGAATAAAAGATGGGTAATGACATAAGTGGTCAGTGAACTTTTTTCAATGTCCAACGTGGCCACTAAAATTTTTTCGAAAAATTGTCCAAAAAGTCTCAAACCTATTGAATGGCCGTCAATTTATATCTAAACATTTGAATTCCGCCAATTTAGCCTTAAACCTATTGACGATTTCCCAATTTAGTCGTTCTGACCAATTTTAATTGGAAATTACTAACGTCAAAACTAGCCGTCCTACATGGCATGGCCAATGCAGAAATGGACAATTTTTGCCAATTTTTCTTAAATTTTCTGAAATTTTCATTACTTTTTTTAAATTTTTTTCCTTTTTTTCCTTTCCTTTCCTTTTCTTTCATTTTTCTTTTTTCCATTTTCCGATGGTCAACGACAGTCCTGGCAATTGCTGGCACAAGCAAGAGCCAAGATGCCCTAGTGAATCACTAGGGCGGTGAGAGCCACAATGCCCTCGTTGTGGTTAGCAAGGGCCACAAAACCCTCGCCTCTCCAAATCTGGCAAGGTTGTCGCGACTCTCACATGAATTGAGTGAGGGTCATGAGCCCTCACTGTGGCCGATGAGGGCGTGGGCAAGACGAGGGCTCGCGAGCCCTTGCCCAATGGCCAACGAGGGTCTCCAAGCCTCGGCCAGTGGCCAGCGATCGACCTCGCTCAGCCCTTAAGGTAAGACAACCACTTCAACGCTGGCATACTACGTAAGACAGTTGGCGTTCACTTCTGCGATTTCCAACCAAAATTGATCAAAATGATTAAATTAGTAAATCATCAAAAGGTCAAGACTAAATTGGCACAATAAAAAAGATTTAAGACTGAATTGACCGCCGTGCAATAGGTTTAAGACTTTTTGGACAATTATTCCGAAATTAGTTCAATCAAAAGTTCGCTCAAAAGTTGTCCTTGTGTCAAGTGTACCGACATGTCACATGAATTTTTTTGGACGTAGACTACCATGTAAGCATTTATTAGCCAACTTAATGATGTAGACTACCACGTCGTTTTTCCATGTCATCAAATCTTATTAATTAGGACATATATATATATATATATATATATATATATATATATATGCTAGCATGGTCAATCTAACGTTAAGATACCAAAATTATGGCCACGCCATCCAAGTGTTAGAATTTTCAATGGAAGGATTATATTGATTGGATTTTTGAAGGTTCCAGAGCTAGATTAAACACAAAAAAAATTCATGAACCACATTAAATATTGAAAAAAAGTTCAAGACCACCCAAGTCATTATCCTAATTTTATAGATAAAAGGAATACGGATAGTTTAAGTTTCAAACTGTATATCCATGCTAGGGATGTGTGTGTGCAATCGCGCCCAGTCTACAACAATTTGACACTTGAGCTCGACCCAGCTCAAGTAGCCATCATTTGATATTGGATTTAAATAAGTCATCAATAAGCTCTAGCTTGACTCAATTGGTCAATTGTTCTAACTTGAAACTCGAATTAAACTCAAACTCAAGCTCGAATCATGAAAATACACTATAATTGAAAATATAATAAAGATTTATTTGGTTCATATTTATTAATTTACATATATAATTAAAATAGGTAAAGATTCAATCTCTCAACTAGGCTCCTGAGATATCAAGTCAAGTATTTTTTAGCTCGATCTAGACTCAATTAATGAGTATTTGAACCACTTGAACTCGACAAAAATCAAGTCGACTTTGAGAAATCTGCCAGTCTGAACTCAAATAGCTCGAGTAGCTTGACTGATTTACATCCTTAATGCAAAACATCGTAAGCGTCTAGAACGTCTTCATAAACTAAGAAAACACGTGCGAAATGGGAACTCAGCCCCAGGTCGTCTAAAGTTGATATTGGTCATTGAATATTATTTCAGTGTTGAAGTATGGTTTTCTTTTTGCACGCCACCAGCCTCTCCAACTTATTAATGATCATATACGTGGCACCATTTTATTGCCAAAGAATCACACTCTTCAGATGAATAGTATTTTATTGGCAGATGTTGACCTAAGCTAGTTGTTTCACTGAAGAAAACCAATTCTTTCCAATAGGAACATGAATCACAACAACTTACACATGTTCACAAGACAAAGATGGATGCAAGTACATTACATATCTACGTATAACATATGCACTAATATAGTTTATGAAAGTCGAAAATTCCAATACATATACATGTATGGAGGCAAATATGTACGTATAGGCCCAAGTACGTAACGTGTTTAATGTAAGCATTTTTTTATTAAGCATCCATCAGTCAATGAGAACCATAGCACTCCAATTTCATAAGTGCTAGTCATGCTAAGTGTGCAATAGCAAGCTTAATTATAATTCTCGGGGTCTAAGTCAGAACAGTTATCAACGCACATAGGAGGGGCAAAAGGTCCACTCAAGCATTATCAAGAGAGATTGAGAGCGACAACAATCGAGCAACATTTTGTCTATAAAAGCCCATTACACCCATTTGGAGTTCCTCGTGCACAAATTGAAAGTCACGCTCACTAAGCCACTCCAATTGTGTCCTAGACAGTACCCAAAGCACGACTATGGCCAAACAAAACCAACTCTCATTCCTCACATCAGCCACTCTTTTGGTCATTATAGTTTCTGTTTCGGAAACGCTTTGTCGCCCTCTTGAAGAGGAACACTTGTTAAAGCAACATGATGAATGGATGGCGATCCACGGGCGCATCTACAAGGACGCGGCCGAAAAGGCCAAACGGTATGAGATATTTAAAGAGAACGTTAAGCGCATCAATGCATTTAACAATGGTAAGGACGTGGGGTATAAGCTGGCCGCGAACAAGTTCACGGACCTAACCAACGAGGAGTTCCGTGCTTCCTACACTGGCTACAACAGGAGGCCCACTAGTGTCCTGCCTTCTATGGCTGCGAAACCGTTCAAGTACGCAAACTTCACCGCCATTCCAGCCACCTTGGACTGGCGAACCAAGAAGGCCGTGACGTCTGTCAAGGATCAAGGCGCCTGCGGTGAGTGGAAGATCAAAATTTGTCACGCGAATGCGTCAAAATTCTCATGTACTCAAGCTGTTAAAAAACGCAACAATAACAAGCTACATAATACTTCCTATCTCCATCTTCTCGCATTATTATCATGTTTTATTCGAGCTGTACTTCATCTGATAATTAATGCTTACATTTTACACCAAAAAACAAGCAAACTACGTAACGTCTTACCGTACATATACATATGTCTTCTATTTTGTACATTCATTTGAACAATTTCTGTTAGCCTGACAGAGGAAACTTACTATCTCCTTGTGCAGGAAGTTGTTGGGCGTTCTCGGCAGTGGCAGCTATGGAAGGGATCACCATGCTCAAGAAGGGGAAGTTGGTATCACTCTCGGTGCAAGAACTTCTGGATTGCGATGTTAATGGTAAGGATTCAGGCTGCGAGGGTGGGTACATGGACAGTGCCTTCAAGTTCATTATAAGCAAGGGCGGCCTCACGACCGAGGCGAATTACCCTTATCGGGGAAACGAGCGGACCTGCGACACGGCAAAGACAGGGAACCATACTGCCTCGATAACTGGATACCAGGACGTGCCGGCCAACAGCGAGAAGGCCCTCTTGCAGGCTGTGGCGAACCAGCCGGTCTCAGTGGCAGTCGAGGGGGGAGGGTTCGATTTCCAATTCTACTCAAGCGGCGTGTTCACGGGCTCGTGCGGGACCGATATCGACCATGCGGTCACGGCGGTCGGGTATGGGAAGACCTCTAGCGGGACCAAGTATTGGCTGCTGAAGAATTCGTGGGGCACCGGGTGGGGTGAGAGCGGGTACATGAGGATCCAGAGGGATGTGAGCTCTAGGACTGGCCTCTGTGGTCTTGCCATGAATGCTTCTTATCCAACTGCGTGAAGAAAGAAGAAGATTAAAAAATAAATTATGAGCTTATATATGTGATACTGGTTCTTAGGCTCTCTATAAGTATGAAATGATGTCTAGCGTCTCTGTAAAAGAAGCGAGTGTAAGTGACCATACGTTACTAGGGGTGGTCCTACAACAGAAACTGTGTGTGGGACTGCCAACCAAACTTGTTTTTAAGCGTTCGAATAAGTGTTTCGTCAGCGTGATTTTAAGTACTGAATTGTGTCCAACACCAGAAATGTCATCCTTAATGGAAGCACTACTGCAGGGTAAAACTGATGGAAAATGCAATGTCATCCTGTAATGTCTTTCTTCTACTAAGTTGAATTAACCAAAAAAAAAAAAACAATTTGCAGAAAATTTCTTAATGTTGTCTCTCGGGATTCAACGTAAGCATGCTGCCTCACTGTCGGAGGACTTAGAAAGGAGTTAAAGTCCAAGTCACATTCCTATCTCCACTCAATTTCACTCAACACCTTAAACAAATTAGTTATGGCCAATTAATCATGTTATCTACTCTTTTTTACTTTGATCAGTTCGTATGCAACTTATATTTGACGCACATCTCACGTGTGAATTCTCATTCGTGTCATTCCTCTATACGAAGGTGGGTTGCGTTTGTTTAATCAAATTGGAAATGGAAAATCATTGCAAAAAACCTAGCAAAGAAAGTGTGACATCTGGAAATTCCCACATCAATTAGTACGTAGAAAAAAAAGACGATAAATGTCACAAGTGAAAATTTCAGTTAGATTATTAACATTGTAGTACGCGGAGGATTCGAGTTGTAATTTCCATATCCATGGTTTTTGAAAAGTGTTCCCATTAGGATTAAATTAATAAGTATTTGTGCATAAGTGAATTATATAGAGTGGTAATGAATCACGTATTGCCATATTAATTGTAGACGGAGACTGATATGCTTCGTAGTGTATATAGGATAAACTTTAGGTAAGAAATTTACTGGGTTGTGAATCTCCTAGCGGCGGGTAAGTTTTGCTTGATGTTTTGGTAAGTTCAAAACATTTTTCGGTGCTATCGGTGTTTAGAACGGACACTGATTTCCTTGTTTATATATTGATATACTAGATATCTTAGCGAGTTACCAAAATATCTTTGGTTCTATCATCTAAATTTAGCCATGTGTCACTCTTTAAACTTGAACACTTCTCTCTCATTCTCCATCTAGTGTTTTTAAACCATTGTCATCATTACTTTTAACATTGGTTAATTGTTCTATCCTTTGTAACTCTTATGAAGTCTTCCATATACATTCCCGTTGGTGAATTTGTGGGCTTTATTCTCTTTTATTAAACTAGTTTTGTTACTTAAAAAGATTGAGATTTGTTAATTTATGTTCTTGATTATTTTGCTTTGAAAGTAATTAAAGCTTTGATTTTGCTCAAGCCTTTTTCAAGGTAAGTGAATACTCTAAGAACTAAGTAAGATTGATTTACTTGGTGCTCTTGACTTAGTTGTTTGATGGTTGTTAATTTTAGTTGAATCTTGATGCTAATCGAGAGAAAGCTTCAATGAGTGTGTGTTGAATCGTTGTGTTCATTTGGCTTGAATCGATAAGTCTCTACATGGCGAGTTTGTGATTAATCGATGTCCATAAGATTCGGTAGTATAACAAGTGGTAATGGTGGAACTACACTTGAAATGATATTTTTGTAATGACTAAGTTACCTAATTATTAGTTAAGCGTTGTCGATTAATCACGTAGTCGATTATTTGGGTTGTCGACGTTCACATGTTGATTCTTTGATTTGTCGCTGTTCACATTGTTGATTATATGAGTCGTCAATTTAAAAAATGTCGATTTATGAATAAAGTTGCATGTTCTGAAGTTGTCGATTTATATGTATCGGTTCTAAGCTACCAATTACCTATTTATGGCTTCCGATATAATGACGATGGCTTAGCATGGAAAGAACGTGGATATATATGTTGAGGTGCATGTAATTATCATTAGTTGCATGACAAATAGCAAATTATTGAGATATACATGACAATTATTATGTTGTTATGAAATGTATGGGAATGATCCCACGTGAGGAACACCTTTGCCACTGCCGATTCCCTTGTATGAGTATGTATGAAAGACTGGAGAGTTAGCCAGATATTCTACGGTCTAGAGACGGGTCTGTACAGGGTTGAAGGGACATAAAAGTCCTATAATTTACACATACTATGAGTTTTTTTTTTTATCGAAGATATGAGTTGGCTTGTGTAGCCTAAGTTGTCTCGTGTAAGCCTGTGTTGACCATCATCATGCGATCGTATAGTGGCATATTTATCCTCGCTGATGTAGAGGATGCTCATGATGATTGGGCTGTGTATCAGGATACCTTAAGAATGCTAGGGATGACTCGCGAGTCGAGATGGTTCCTGGCAAGTAACAAGTATGAACTCACTTGTGTATATCGGTGAAGTTCATGATGAGTTGGGACAGTAACAAGTATGAACTCACTTGTGTATATCGGTGAAGTTCATGACGAGTTGGGAATAGATTTTTCCTGTGTATAGTGGCGAATAACTATGTGCTAAATGCATATCACGAAATAATATGTCATTCGCTTGCCTTTGAGTAAATAATCTGATGTAACATTGATAAGTGCATTTCATCTACATATTATGATAGGAAAGATTGTGTATTTACTTTTTCATTTATTTGTACTTGTTTTGAACTGATATTGTTTGTGGATAACATGTTGAGTGGTAAAAGAAACTCCTACTTTAGACTTAGAGATTTCATTTATTGGGTTTCGGCTCACTCCTTTGAATTTTCAAATATGTAGAATGGATCGATCACCACCATTGCTTTTTGGAGCTCCCATGTATTTTGAGTGTGAATATGAAGACGTGCTTATACTTGGGTTAGTAGTAGTATATACTAAGTGTAGTTTCACCGTTTGGGTTTCTAGAGTGGATTCCCCATCGATTTGTCACTTGGTACTGGAATCTCGATGGAGTTGGTTGGTTCATTGAGGGCCTTTGATGGTGAATGTGAAATGTCAATGGGCGAGGTTGTCAATTGTCTTTTGTACAGGCAAGATTTTGGGCGTAGGATTGGTGTTGATGATAGGTTACCCTAACCCTTCCCATGACTTATGTAATTTGTGTTTTTCTAAGACGTTGTATAAAAATATTATCTACTGACATTTTTTATAAAAGAAGCATATGTACTTTAATTAAAGTTGTGTGTTTTCTTGTATGGGATGCTGTGAATATGTTATTGTGATTCCACGTGCTAATAATAATTATGAGTTATAATCGGATAAGACACATGTCGTGCATAACGTTTGGAGCGTCATAGAAAGCATGTGGAGAGTGCTCTCTATGAATGTGAACCCAATTCATATGCATTGTTGGATGAGATCAAATCCACATGATGCAACGATGCATGTGAATTGAGTTCATATGCACCTAAGTTACTTTTGTTGCTTAGAGTTACTGTTAAGATACACGTATGAGTTGTGTTATAAAATCTCATATCAAAAACTAGTGTGGTGTGGAGTAGTTGATATATTTTAATTGGCCCAAAACTGATAGACTTAAGTTTTTTAATGAAGGTAAGTCCAACTAGATATGTTGACAGGCATGAACTTGGCTCCCTCTTGGCGATCTTCCTGAGTGAAGGTATTGGATTTTTACTGTGCGCTCCCAACACTTACTTCGATATAGCTATTACACAATGACTATATAGACCTAGACATTTTTGCAGAAAAACTCCCTTCGATCATTTGGAGGGTCAATAATAAGTACCAAAGTTAAATGTCTAAAATAAAAAAGCATGACACTAAGACCTATAATTTAGTGAAACATCAACATGATGTTTGCCTTGTATCTCGGTGAGGCCTTGCGCAGATCAGCGGCGAGGGTCAGAGGCCTACGCCGCTTCGTCTTGGGTCGGCCTTGCACTTGGCAACGAGGGTCACGGCCTCGCTTCATCTCAATGACTAGTCAGAAGACGATGAGGAACTCATCTTTGATTGTGGGGCTACGACAAGCCTACACGAGGTGGCTAAGACCCATCTATAATCAGATTTAGCTATCTAATAACCTACTTTTCACGAAAAAATTTCACTTTCTTCTTACTAGATGAGTTTATAGTACATAAATAGAAAGACGTCAAATTAACATAGGATCCACAAATATGATTTTGATATCAATACAAATACTATAAAATACACCTTGTTAACTTTATGTTAAGAATAAGCAACACATGCACTTTGGATAAAATTGGATTAAGTGCACTATTATGTGAATCCAAATATACTCATTTTATGTTAAGATCAAGTTGTATTCTTATATGGTGCACCATAATATACCATATTTTGTTAAAGATAATTACACAAATGGTCCCACTTTGATTAAATGTGTAATATCATCCCTGAACTATTAATTTATTCAATTTAGTCTCTAGACTTAAGCCTAATGTGCAATATCGCCAATAAACTTTTAATTTATTTAATGTGACCCCTGAATTTTTGTTAAATGTTCAATTTAGTTCCTAGATTATATGAAAATGTCCTCGAATGTTTTTCCCTTTTACTCTCATTTTGAACTATTTTTAGTTAATTTTCCTTTAAGCAAGATATTAGGTAGTTTAGCTTATTTAATGTCATACACATATGCTCATTAATCAAACTTTAAAACGAAGATACTAGTGTCCCCATTTGTAATGGATCCCACTTTTATTTGAGACGAATATACATTATATTTCTAACATGTTTTGACAAAATAGTTGATGCTCATAAAGTCTATTATTATTTATTGACGCATGTCTTCGATTTTTTAATCTAAAATCATATGGCGGCGGAGTCGCCTACAGAATAGGTGGGTTTTTTTTTCATCCCAAGTTTTTTACGATCTAATTTTAGATATATACAACATTAAAAATAACATTACTATATAACATAACTAAAAATTACATTTTTTAAGATAATAAAATCAAAAATTACATTTGTTTCACCAAAAATGATGTGATATCCTTCGAGATATATTTAAACACTTTATCTCTTTCTTTCAGCAGTTGCTTATATTTAGACAATCGCTTCGCCAATTGAAATAAATCGACAACGCCTTGAC